AAACATTTTCAGATATAGAAGCAAAAGCAAAGATCTGACAGGGCTGTCATGAATATCAGCAACATACTTGTAGACGACGCAAGCGAAAGCCAAAGTACGACCATTTTAGCACTTCTAGTACACTTGAAGGATTTGTTGAAACACCTGGTAACCTGGTAAAACTGACTAAAACACCTGGTAAACAGTTTGAAATTGAAGTGTTTGCTAACATGTGTTTTTGGAACATTTTAACATTTGAATTAGCAGTAGTTTTCGACGTTATCACCAAAACAATGTTGGTCTATTTGCGTCAAAGGTAAAAAAGCTTGAGGAATGGGTGCCCCACAAACTCAATGATCGCCAGCGCAAAGTACGCGTCGAGACGTGCCTTGCACTATACAACAGGCACACACATGAAGAAATTTTAGAACCACATTATTATCATGTAAATATATTACAGCCGAAGAGATTTTTAAAGAAACTCCAATTATGATCAGTGCTTATGCAAGTGGTTTGAAATACGAGCGAAATAGACGGCGAATTAGTGAAGTTTACCGAGTTGCTTAAAACGGATGTAGTTTGTGCGATTTATCAATCACACCAGACACATGACTAGAAATTCAATATAAATTCCTTGGTTGGGCGGCGGGCCTAAGGGTTCGATTCCCAGGTTGAGTCACCCTTTTGTGCGAGGTGTTATACTAGGTGGATTGTACACGCGGATGGTTTCTTACGCCTCAACTAGATGGCGGACGTGGCACGCGGCACCTTGGACAATACACTCCTCGCTCTTCCAAATCTATTGCTTGCCAAGGTTAGGGGAATTCTACTTGAGCATATTAGGAGAAACAAAATGGGGCGGGTTAACTAACAAACAAAATGCTCAAGTTGGAACAAAATTACGGGAAAACACACTTACCGGGGTGTGATTCTGATGCGGCGGACGACGCTTCCGTTGCGGTGATGCGACGTGAGGTGGGTTCTTCTGGGGCGCCCCAGAGATGCGATCCAGGCCAGTGGTACGAAGGAAGAGAGCGGTGCGCGACGATATCTCACACTATGTGAGGCGGTTACTTCTGGAGCGCGACTGCTCCAGGTGGTGGCAAGAGACCGCTCGAGGGCAGCGCGCGAGCCTATATTGCCTCGGCTTTCCCACCAATGCACCTCGATCGGGCGCGCGTCTCATTGGTCGAAAGAATCGCGCCACCTTCTAGAATCCCCCCTTTCCCCTTTCAGTGTGTACGGAAGGGACATTAGGTCAAAGGATGGATAAACACTTGGCAAATATACCCTCGAACAAAATTAAAATACATTAATCGTTTCCGCGTAACCGTTCCTAATGGATAATTCATTAGAATCATGTTTTCCCAATTTAGAAATTGCGTAGCGCATTTATTGTTTCTCATGATATATAACTTCAACAAAAATTGATAGGGGCGTACTCCAATGGTTTGGGCACGTTGAACGAATGAGTGAAGACCGAATGTAAATATTAAAAGGTGCCGAGGTAGACCGAGACTAACTTTCGAAGACCATGTGAGCAAATTGCTCGAAGAGGGGAGGGTCAAGAGTACTCGGATACCTAGACGTGCATGTATGAAGAAGTTAATGAACCTGAAAGAAGCGAAAGAGGTATGTAAGGATCGTGACACTTGGCGATCTGTTCTCTCTGGCTACCCCGTTCGGGATTGTGCGTGAAGATAAGTAAGTAAGTAAGTAAGTATGATATATAACTGCAGTGGTGAACGTTCATTTCCGACATTGAACCGTATAAAAAAATAATTTAGGCAACACTATGAGTCAAGAACGCCTGAATTATTTCCCTGATGGCAGTATAAGGAAGCTAAAGGTCGCTCAGCGAGCTATGGAGAGGGCTGTGCTCGGGGTTTCTCTGCGAATAAACTTATAAATGAGGATATCCGCAGTAGAACCAGAATAACTGACATGAAGAGGCCCAACGGATTAGTAAGCTAAATTGGCAATCGGCCGGCCATATAGATCGAAAAACCGACAACAGATGGGGAAGAACGGTTCTATAGTGGCAGTCTCGTACCGTTGGGTGAAGTGTGTGGCGACCCCTCACTAGATCGAATGACGACCTGGTAAGACATGCAGGAATTTGATAGATGGATGAATGGACTTGTGAAGGGCTGTAATGACGACAATGATGATGACAGTGATCTATATTGTAAATGTAGCTGTAACCCCTCTGAAGAAAATAAAATACTAGAGTCCATATAACATCCTTGGGGCAATCTTAGATTATGTAGCAATATGATCTAAGGGGACAATTTATACGCTTACGCTTCCTGACAAAATCCCAAAAAATTACAATCTCTGACTATCAAACAGTTTTTTTTAATATTATCAGCAGGTTTTTGGCTGGTTGTTTTCAGGAAAGTATTTTGGAACCAGTGATGAAAATAAAAAAGCCTTTAAAAGGAGCATTTAAGATATACGTTAAATATATGTAAATTATCGTGTTTTATTTATTATCATGAAAATATGATGTCTCTATTAGAAAAGATTTTCGTGGTAGAGCCAACCCGCAGTTATATATTATAGTTATAGCACGAATTGCTCGGCACAATCAGGGAAGGAGTACGCTTTCACAGAGTACCATAGCGTAAAATAGCAGCTCAATGCTGTTGTATTTTGTATGGCGGTTGTAGAGAACACTAAAATCCTTTTTACTGTAAACTAGGTATTTCTTCTTAGTCCTCAGAAGTGACAGCGCATCGGCATTTTGATTCTTTATCGAGGATAGATGTAGCCTATGAGCCACAGCATCCACATACCATCAGGAGGACTGTGTGCTCGTTTGTCACCCTTATTCTATAAAAAAACAATGAATTTTTTCCTATGTTGCATATATACATATATTGATTTGATATCAGTGTGCTTCGTCGTGCGATTGAGTGCATGTTTCTTTTGACAATTCTGTTTCTTACCTTAAACTATCTAAAATGTAAATTTCTATTTCTTCTATCTATCTAAACTTGTTTCCTGTTAAATTTGTATTTACCGTTTTTTAATTTATTATAAATTTTAATCAAGAAAGTAAAAGTAAAAATAGTGAAAGTTCCGTATCACATTTCCAAGGGGAATTGTACTGAAAAAATTGCTGTTTTATTTCAAGTTCCTTCACTTTTGCGTCTAATAGTAGGGTAAAGAAGATAGGCGTCAAGACCGGGACCATTCCATAGAGGCCCGTCATCTTAGTCGCCCGCTTTTTCTTTTAGGAAAACGGGCTTGTGATCGGAATCGAACGACTTCCTCTGGGGTCACGCCCACCTCGTTGCCCCGAACCTTGCGCGGTGTGGTATTGGTCCTTGAATAGAAGGCCAATAATTCGTTGATCCTTGATCGTAGCCAGGAACAGCGACCTCGCTATTCCTGGCTACGATAGCGACCATGATAACGGCGGGGCAGAGGTGCTAGAAATCTCCGGTATAGGTTCGGTTGCCACCTAAAACTTGGTAACTTCTAACGCACGCACCCTGAGGACTGAAGATCCTGGAGCTGGAAGCAAAGGTAGAAAAGTTCCGCTGGCATATTACAGGATTATCCGAGGTCCAAAGAGAGTGGGCCATTTGTTTATGTCGTTGCTTATGGGGGGATGTTTGCCATTATTGCCACGTTTAGTGAGCGTGTTGGTAACTGCAGTTTATTTTAGTATAATTGGTGTTATCAGGTTATGCTGCTGCATATCTCCTGCGTGTCTCCCTCTGTTGCCTCTTACGACACCTGCGGGAAGATATGGGGTAGAGAATATTCTCAACCACCATTACACGGCATATTTATTATGATTTAAAAACTAAAAAATCCCCTTACTAGTTTAATAGCAAAACTGGTGCAATGGTATAGCCACAACCGGGTGAAGTGGCCAAAACTAACGATTTCACACCTTTTGTATTAAAAAAAATATTAAAAAATAAATAATTGACTTTTACCACACATTTATTCGAAACCTTAAAGATAAATAAATACTCTTTCCTTTAGATAATTTATACCGACATTTTACACATTTTTGCAATAAGAGCGAAGTTATTAAAAATAAAAAAGCGCTTAAAGTGGTCAAAACCAGGGCTCATGCCGACCACAGTATACAGTTGGGAAACGAATGTACTTGAATGTACATAGCAACGGTAGGGGCACTGCGGGGCAGTGGGCGGGCACGACCATGTGCTAGCGCACTTCATTCACTGAGTCTGATACACAATTTGTTATTGCGTATTGTAGTATTCTATGATCACAACCATAATACATAAAAATATATTGTAAACTTACAACCGTATGGTCGAAATACGAAAAGGCTTTTTTCACGATCTTAATTCACATGTCAGTTGAACTCATCATTTGCGTATCGGGTTTTTATATTATTTTTACTCTTTTATTATTCACTTAAACGGTAGACCTGTTTAGCGTTTCCATTTCTAATGATGTACTTTTTTAAAATAAAAGATCAATGGTTCTACCGGTGAACTATCAATAAAATTCTATCAAACAGGAGGACACAACTACTGTTATTATTTCAGTCCTAATTTATATTCGGTCCATTTTCGTTAGCGACTATTTTGCAAATGCCATTCATTTCAATATTATTTCAAACCTTACCCTGTTTGAAAAAACAGGTATCCATAAAGAATAATCTTTCTTGCATTTTTTTTGTGTCAATTTATTCAATCACAGTATTAAAACAGTAATGTAAAATGTTACAGTTATGACACTATGTCTGTGTAAAATTAAAGAAATATGTACAATATAGATACAGATTTATATAATATACAGGCTTATTATAGTAAAAATACTTATATTAAATTACTAATATGAAACATTAAAAACCAAAAGCTATTATGAAATATTTGGTTGTTGTATTTTAGAATTTATAAGTTATATCTTTTAATCCAAGCAATTTAAGCAATTTATTTTGAATATATGTAGGTATACGTTAAAATTTATAATGTAATATTTAAAGACAACATTTCTTTCACATCTAAAGTTCAAGAATATTACTTGTCTCAAGATAGTTTTTGAAACTTTATGGATTTTGAAAGACATAAAAATACTTCATTAACTTCTTGCCTGACATTTTCAGCATTTTGCATCAGCCTGGTAATCTCATTTCTATACCCCTTTAGAATTTCCGATTGCCAGTTTTTGGATACTTTAGATATGTCAATTTCTTTTTCGTTGCCGTCTATTATTTTGAGACAAAATTTTCTTTCCGAATTATACAACGCTAGACTAAGTAAAACAGGTACATGCGATGCCTGTCGAAATACTAAATTAAACTCTAATAGACAAACGAAATCAAACGACATTTTCTCATTAGCATCTAATAAGGTAATGTTATGTATGTGTAGTAAATATTTAAAATATTGAAATGGAGAATCTGTTCCAATGTAAGACAAGTCAACTGAATCCATCAAAACATATTTTCGATTATTACTTTCTGCAAAAGACGATGTACTCTCTTCAGCTGTTGCTGCTGAAGTAGTATACTGAACTGAAGTTTTAACGTCTTGGTTACTCGAATTAATTAACTGTGGTGTTACAATATCCGACATATAAACTACGTTTTCCGTGTTTTGGTAAGACATACTATTTTTTTGATTTTGGTTTATAATGTTGCTACTCTGTTTTGCTTGTTGCTTATGCATGTTATTGAGGGCTATATCCGACATTAACTCTGAGACAGGTTTTACTTTTATCCGTGGTATATTCTTAATGTAGTCTTGCTGATCTTCACAATTTGCAGTATCACCGTCAGTCTTATTTACACCAATTTTTTTACCCCTACATTCTTCTGGCATCTTACAATTGGATACAGTCGGTGATAACAAGGCATTTTCGTCATTACTTTTCTGTTCCTCCGTGACTCCCGACGTTCCGATAGCTAAAGAAACTGTCGATGTTATTACCGGCATAAGTAAATGTTCATTAGAATCTTCAACACGATCAACTAAAACACATTCGTATCCTGGGGCTGTTATGATAAGGTTTTGCTTCTGATTTAAAATTTTATTTTGATTTTCATTTGTGTTTGAATTTTTTGGAAGTTGTTTAGGATTAGCTACCGGACTGGCATTCAAAAGTTGCTTAGGAAAGGGAACATACTTGACATTTAGACGCTTTTTTAATAAAAAACCTTTATCGTCAGTAATCGAATCAGTATTATTAGTTTGGTCTGTCAAAACTTCTGTAGTATTTAGTAGAGATTTTGCAATTAATTCATTTTCATTCGCCTTTATGTTCGTAATAGCCTTATCAGTTGATTGATTTAAATTTTCAGACGTTAATTGATCGTTAACAGTGCCAGAACCATTTCTTTCAAAGTCATTGTTAAGCTGAACTTTCTGTAAAACTTCCCACCCCAAATCGGAGGCATTGTTTTCTTCACAATTTTTCAGTTTCATCATTATTCGTACATGACTAGAATGTGTTAAAAGTGCTGGAATCCATACTATTTCAAGATTTAGATATTCCAAATACCGTAACAGTCCAGTGCAATTAAAATCTGAGTTTGTTATTACCTTTCTTCCAATGCTTAACACCTTTTGTTCAATAGAAGGATCTATTTTATGCGCAGGTTTTTGTATAATGTTACAGGGTATTTCGGAAGACTCAAGAGTTATTAAGTATTTTTTATAACACACAGATATTATATTTTGTATCGTTTTATAATCGCCATCCCACAATGATATTAAAAACTCTAAATTTTTTTCATTCTTTGCAGGGTTAATAATATTGTAAGACGTAATATCAGAGGAGTGATCTATGTTGAAGCATTCAGCATTATTTTGCTCTAGACTAGATAGTGGAGCAATTATTTCTTTGGACGGTAATTCGACATTAACCTTAGCAGAATCTTTATTTTTTTCCAGGACAACAGTTTCATTTGAACTTCTCGAAAGTAATCGACGCCGTTTCTTTTTGACTTTAAAAATTGGCTCATTGTCGCTAGACTCTGCACTACTCAAACTTTCTTCACCTTTTAAGACTTCTAACGTTAAATTTTGGCTATCTTTGCTAACTAACTGTTGTTTTGGTTTGAACAAAGTATAAAAAAAGCGGTCCTCTGACTTTATGAGCTTGTTCCAATTATGCACTACAATTCGTTCTGAATCACAAATGTTTGGCTTAACATCCACTTTGTTCAACTTAACAGAACAATGACTATTTATACATGTTTGGTACTTTAATAACAAAGACGAATGTGTGTTAATGTGTCGTATCATACCAGATTCAGTTTTATAACTTTTATTACAAAATCTACATATAAACCTTTTGTTGTAATTATTTTCCCATTTATCTGGTGGTGGTTTTTTTATACGTTTGTAACTTTTTATTCGTTTATTTTTTAATTTTATTGATGTATCTGTGTCTGACTTATCCAATGAAGTACTACAAAATGTAATTTTTTTTCTTCCTTTTCTATCCTTTACTTCACTGGCACTTGATCTAACAGTTTCTTGCGCAGGTTGTATCTCAGTACCAAGAGATGTTGCCTAGAAAATAACGACACGTGAAATAAGTAATAAAAGTTACAAATATAACAATAAATAAATAATATAAAAGTAACTATTACGAAATATTGTTTTTCATAATAAAATAAAGACTTATTATTATGATGCCGTGAAAGAAGTTGGAATCTAAAAGATACTCAGCACGACAACCTTAGACAAATATTACACTCGTTGTTGTCATGGCTTCGCTAAATTTTGTATTCTTAGTTACACGTACCTACACATTTAATAAAATTATAAACGAGATGTCTGTACATTTTATATCTTTGTAAAAAGTGTTTGGGGAGGGGACTAAAAATAAGTAAATAAATACATTTCTACAATTTTTAGAATTGTCTGTCATGTCTGTTTGTTTGTTAACGTAGCACGTTAAAGTACTAATTTGTATCAAATTAATCGGTAAGGAAATTACAAAGCGTATCTTTGTGTTATTCTGAAGTATTGGTACGAATTATAAGTACGAATTTGTTCAATGGCGGCGTGAGTCATCAAGTGCATTTTTTATAGGATAGGGTGACAAACGAGCATACAGTCCACCTGATGGTAAGTGGTTGCTGTGGTCCATAGACATCCACATCTATACTCGATTACGAATCAAAATGCAGATACGTTGTCACCCGTGAGGGCTAAAATGAAATGTCTCGTTTCCAGTAAAAAGGGTCTCCGGTTCTCTACACTCACCATACGAAACACAGCAGCATTAAGCTACTATTTGACGCTGGTATTCTGTGAGAGCGTGGTCCTATACTATACTACTAATATAACTGCAGCATGGCTCTACCACGTGAAAATGATATGATGTGCATTTTAATCTTTTATCATAAATCAAATTTGATGTAAAATAATATTCGATAATGATTAAATTATATCTGAAACGCAGTAAACAAAAATAAGTAAGAATAACGTAATAAACATAAACAAAAATATAATTAACCTTGGGTTCTAAGATCAATAGTTAACAAATGTCAGTGAAAGATGGTGGTGTTGTGCAAATGTAATTCATAAGTAGATATTTTGATTTTTATATTACTCGCTGCCCTACTGCGTGTTGACAAACTAATTGATTTATAAAACTTTGAACAAGAAGGTTTGCTTAAAATGTTTTTCTTTACCGCTGAGTAACCTAAATGAAATTTTAAGATATATTAAAAAATTACGTTGGTTTCGGCTAGGATCGAACTTTATTCCTTGCCTGTGCTACTGTAGGAGTGATTTGTTCTGCAGGCACTGTTATAAAGTTCTGGTATGTTTTATATAATGTATCAACCACGTCGAATTTTTATTTTTTTAATTGATGTTAACAGCGCCATCTCTCTTTAAATTTATACCTACAATAAGGATGGAGATTACCTGTGTCTATTCATTATATATTATATTTTTACAAAAATCATTAAGAGGACTGAAAATAAGTAACCCCGGCTAATGGTTAGGTTAAAAATATCAAATTCGAAAAAATCTTTCCAATTTCGAGAACTCGCTTGCCAAGCGTGGCAATAATGGCAAATATCCCAAATGACGCTATCTATAGAAGAGACCTATGTTCATCTTCATATTTCTATTATGAGAGGGTTTGTTTTTTGGAATGGTCAGAATTCATCGCATTACTAAATCAATTTTTCACTACGGTTGCAATTTTTTTTATAAATCGTCCGGTTCTTTTTATAAGAAACTTCCCCCTGTGAGGAAATATATGGAGGAGGCCTATGTTCAGCAGTAGACTGTTATAATGGGATAGTGTATAAATGAAATGGAATGGAATGGGCTGTAATGGAAATTTAGTTTGTTTCGCTGCTTCTTCGCTTGGCTCCAAATCTTTACAATGGTAAACTACTCAAATTAGTATTTCCTTAAAAGAATGTGCTAGACACAGATATTAACATCGGTTATGATGTAGATGAGGAGGTGTTTTATTCCAAGAATTTGCTTAAAACGCTACTTAACAAAGCGACTTCCAAGGGTGGATCCGAAGTATGGAGTGGGTCAGAGACGGCCGCGTTACTCTAAAGTTAGAAGGGGCTCAGAGTTTTATCGCATTACTTTATGACGCAAAAATTATCAATTCTTCTTTTTTTCTTTTTTTTTTCCTTCATCATGAACCCGTAAAAGTCTACTGCAAAACAACCTTTCCCACTTCAGGAGTGATTTGTTATAATTTTCACGGTTTGCAGAAAAATTGATGATCGCAACAAAATACATCTCGCATCTTTGACGTTGCTGGCCAGTGTTGGTACAACTAGCCGGTCTGGGTACGAATAACCAGTCTGGGTATTTTTTGTCTGGCTCTGACGTAACTGATTTGTTTATAGCGCCATATATCGAAAGCCGTTACATTTTTCTGGCATTTCCCGTAATCGCCTCTTACTGCACCTCCAGGAGGTGTGATGGTGCACGTAGAGAAGTGATGGATTCATTTACGCCGCCACAACACAGCAAACGGACTGTCGTTCCCTCCTTTTTTTTTTTTTAAATTAGAGTAATTGATAACCCATTTTTAGTATATGGGCCACAGTGTGTGTTTGTTTGTTTTTTTCTATAATATATGCGTTCTCATAGTTTCTATTTGAATTCCATCTGAGTATCCGCAACTTGGTAGTTAGGTACCTATTTTAAGAACTTGGCCTAGGCCTATATCCGAATACTTACATATTATGTTCCCAAAATCCTATCGGTTAACCTTTCCATACCCATGCCCGATACCCGTTAGGTATAGTACAGTGTACTTTTTATATGGAGTGTAGATAGGTAAATATTGATATCTACTAAAATATTTTGCTCATTTGATATTTTTTGAAAATATTTGGAAGTATGTCTTGAATCTTGGTCAAATTAAGTCGGAAGGATATTATTTTAGCTTAAAGATGATAAATTTTGATGATTATAAACATGGTCGAAAAAAATAGCGTAGATTACTTTTTAAATCTCAGATTTAAATATTTAAGAGTTCATAGAGAGGTAATTTTTTTAAACTATTAGCTTCAAATTTTAATACCTACGATATTGTTTTTTTTATAAAAGACACGGCAACGCAAACGCATATCGCATTGTCTTTGCAGTGACAGTGTAACTCCGCCGTTACTTCGGTTTCATCAGCATCAAAGACAAAATTTTAAATGAAAAAAAAATTTATCGAAAAGTTTTTTATCTGGTTTCAGTTTATTTATCAAAGCTATTATTTTAACTAAAGAAAATTTTCTTTAAATTCTTAGAGTTGTGTTAAATGCATGGATTTAATTTTAAAATTATTAAAAATTCAATCTTGTATCATCAAGACAAAATTTCTTTTCCTAGTGTTTAAAATTTTTGAATACTTTGGCTGCTTGTATACCATTGGTGTTCTGTTTGCTACTATAATTTCGAACGGCTTTAAATGATCGCTTATAGGTATTTGACGTTGTACGTGTTCCGATATATTTGAATCAATAATTTGGCCAGTAGTTGAATATTTATGATCACTTTTTAAAATATTTGAACACCTTGACTGCTCCCATAAATATGATATAGATATGAAACGGATAGCTGTTTGGCCGAAGGCGGATATTGGCGAAAGTAAAGTCAGTGCGAATATTTAACAATTGTGACCTTATATCTGGTGGGCAGCTAATGCTACATAATACTCTAATTTTTCACAATTGTGACCTTATATCTGGTGGGCAGCTAATGCTACACAATACTCTCATTATTCACAATTGTGACCTTATATCTGGTGGGCAGCTAATGCTACACAATACTCTAATTTTTCACAATTGTGACCTTATATCTGGTGGGCAGCTAATGCTACACAATACTCTCATTATTCACAATTGTGACCTTATATCTGGTGGGCAGCTAATGCTACACAATACTCTAATTTTTCACAATTGTGACCTTATATCTGGTGGGCAGCTAATGCTACACAATACTCTAATTTTTCACAATTGTGACCTTATATCTGGTGGGCAGCTAATGCTACACAATACTCTAATTTTTCACAATTGTGACCTTATATATGGTGGGCAGCTAATGCTACACAATACTCTAATTTTTCACAATTGTGACCTTATATCTGGTGGGCAGCTAATGCTACACAATACTCTAATTTTTCACAATTGTGAACTTATATCTGGTGGGCAGCTAATGCTACACAATACTCTAATTTTTCACAATTGTGACCTTATATCTGGTGGGCAGCTAATGCTACACAATACTCTAATTTTTCACAATTGTGACCTTATATCTGGTGGGCAGCTAATGCTACACAATACTCTAATTTTTCAAAATTGTGACCTTATATCTGGTGGGCAGCTAATGCTACACAATACTCTAATTTTTCACAATTGTGACCTTATATCTGGTGGGCAGCTAATGCTACACAATACTCAAATTTTTCACAATTGTGACCTTATATCTGGTGGGCAGCTAATGCTACACAATACTCTAATTTTTCACAATTGTGACCTTATATCTGGTGGGCAGCTAATGCTACACAATACTCTAATTTTACACAATTGTGACCTTATATCTCGTGGGCAGCTAATGCTACACAATACTCTAATTTTTCACAATTGTGACCTTATATCTGGTGGGCAGCTAATGCTACACAATACTCTAATTTTTCACAATTGTGACCTTATATCTGGTGGGCAGCTAATGCTACACAATACTCTCATTATTCACAATTGTGACCTTATATCTGGTGGGCAGCTAATGCTACACAATACTCTAATTTTTCACAATTGTGACCTTATATCTGGTGGGCAGCTAATGCTACACAATACTCTAATTTTTCACAATTGTGACCTTATATCTGGTGGGCAGCTAATGCTACACAATACTCTAATTTTTCACAATTGACCTTATATATGGTGGGCTTATGTTACACAATACTCTAATTTTTTCACAATTGTGACCTTATATCTGGTGGGCAGCTAATGCTACACAATACTCTAATTTTTCACAATTGTGACCTTATATCTGGTGGGCAGCTAATGCTACACAATACTCTA